TGTTCCCAAGTTTATTCAAAAATTCATACAAAATATTCCAGTTAAACGTTTTAATTCATTTTAACATTTTGATAGTTAAGTAGTAGTGTAAGTAAGAATTAAAATTCAGTAAATCATGCTACATTAGCAAGTATTTTATTTATCTTTCATATACATTTTAACCAAAAGCAGTTCTTTTGTTTGGTAGGGTGGGGAGGGGTGATAGCTACAAAGAAACAAATGTCAATAAATGGTTTTATGAGTACCACTTTGTATGTTCTCAGGTCTGTCACAAAATGCTTTGTGATTTCAATATGTAACCTATAAGCAACATAGTTTTGGATTATGTAATTCAACTAAGTGAAGTTACTACACATAGCCAAAATGGGAATAATCCTTTGAAAGCATTTGCATGTCTATAAAGAGTAAAGAAAAGACAACTATATTTAATATATGCCTCTGTGTTTAATGGTATATCCTGGAATTACTTCTGAAGAAACATGATAAATGTGTAAAAATGTTAATTCCTATCTTTGTGTAGATAAATGTCTTGGATTCAGTACTCCAATGATTCAGCTATATAAAATACCAAAGCAGGCTTAAGGTTCAGACCAGCCAAAGGAAGCTCAGAAATTGACAAATAGAGCCATGGGTATGATACTCCATAGTCCTTACTCTGGGTTCACCGAATATTTTATATTATTAAAATCTTTTTATTTTAGCAAAACCAGTTACATATAGATTTCAACTCAGAGAATCATTACAAATAAATACAAATACCTCAAAAATGTACTGTGACACCAGAAGTCCCCTCTCAGTATCAATAGTGAGGAGAAAAAATGCACAATTTGGAAAAGTAGCTATGGCAAAAATGACTTCGGCCCACTCTCTGGCACCGAACCCCTCTCATTATTTCAGCCTTTTCCATTGTAATATTCAAAACGCATATTTAATTATCATGTATTTATGCTTTTATGTGATAAATTAACTTTAATTTTTTAAAATATTTTATTGATTTTTTACAGAGAGGAAGGGAGAGGGATAGAGAGTTAGAAACATCGATCAGCTGCCTCCTGCACACCCCCTATTGGGGATGTGCCCACAACCAAGGTACATGCCTTGGACGGGAATCAAACCTGGGACTCTTGAGTCTGCAGGCTGACGCTCTATCCACTGAGCCAGACCAGCCAGGGCAAATTAACTTTAATTTTTGACTTCAACTCAGTTTAGGAAGCTTTCTGTTTCATTCATGCTTGCTGAGGAGAGAGACGAAGAGGCTCTTGCCCTGTTCTCAGAACTGTACGGTGGAGAAACAGGGCATTGCTAAGATCTTGAAGGAAATGTCAAATACTTCAGAATATAACTAGAAAAATTGATGTTTCTCTCCCTTCCTCTCTCTCTAAAATCAGCCAATAAAATTATTTAAGATATATAGTTCATAGTGCTAGATTTTAAATGTATTTTTTTATGTTGTTTTTATTTCCCCATCAATCTTTTTTTTTTTTTTTCACTGCCCAAATGGCCTGGAGAAGGAATGGGCTCCTTGCAACACCCCCTTTGTGTTCCAATGTTCTTTTTTCTTTTTCAATTAAATCTTTATTGTTCAGATTATTACATTAGTTACTCTTTTTTCCAACCATAACTCCCCTCCACCCAGTTCCCACCCCACCCTCCGCCCTCACTC